TGTTGCTGCAATAAAATACCATGACCAGAGCAACATATAGAAGGAAGGGTTTATTTGGGCATAGGGTTCCAGAGGGTAAGAGTCCATTATGGTATGGAAAACATGGCAGGAGGCAGGTGGCACAGAGAACTGAATGCTCACCTCTTCCAGCAAGCTTCAGAAGCAGAGAAAGAAACTAGAAATGGAAAAAAAGGCTTATGAGCTCTCAAAGCCATTCCAAGTGCGATGCTTCCTCCAGCAAGGCCACACCTCCTAGGGATTTCATGGCCTTCCCAAACAGTACTACCAGCTGACCAATGTTCAAATCCTTGAGCCTCTGGGGGACATCTCATTCAAACCACCACAACCCCAAAGATATTTTTTAAGTCTGATAGAATTTAGTGAGCCTTATAAAATAGGAATTCATTTCCACTTGTCCAGAACTCTCAATTTAAATTATTTATGAAATAACTTGCATCCAGATACAGAAAGACAAGTACTACATGATCAAACTGACACACAGAATATTAAAAAAGTTAATCTCATAAAAGTTGAGGGCAGAATGGTAGTTAGCAGAGGCCAAGCATGGCAGGGATAGACAAGATGGGGAAAAGCTGTTCAAGATGTGCTGTTATGTGGAGTTGTGATGTCACATTGCAATGATGCCTGAACAAAAATAGCTTGACTCTTAACATTCATTAAGACCAAGAGTGTGACTATTCTAAGAACTTATTTCTTCAGATTTCTCCCAAAACTGTGTCCTTGAAGGAAAAAAAAGACCTTGTTTTCTTTATTGAAACAACATTATCCTTTATGATACAGGAAAGAAAGGGGGAATCTGTCTGACCCAAGGATCTTCCCTATCTGACCCCTACTAATCCAGAATGGCACACACAACCACAATCAGCTATTACCAATCTAATCCTACCTGTTGTTTGCAACAACAACAACAACAACAAAAAAAAATGAACTAATTTCTTGCTCTCAGCTCTTTATATTTCCACAACATACACATACATTATTCTGATCAGGGCCAAAGAAGGAGAATGAGGGATTAAAGGCACATGTCTAGTAGTTCACAAGATGATCCCAACCCTAGTAAGCTTTTTTATAGTATTAACAAGCTGAGATGGTGTTAAGTCATCTCAAAATGTAAGATTAACTTTAGTAAAAAGGTTAGATAAGATTCTGTTTGTCTAGAAATCTCCTCCCACAAAGTTACAGTTAGATGGGAAGAAAAAGTTCTGCTGTACTCTTATATCTTTGAGTAACTATAAATAGCAATGAGGTACTATCCAGTTCAAAACCTAGAAGAAAGGATTTTGGAAACTTTTACCATGAATAAATATGTGATAAATGTTTGAGTAGTTAGATATGTTTAATCTGATTTAAACACTACAAAGTATATGTACATATCAAAATAACACATGGTACCCAATAAAGATGGACAGATTTTACCTATCAGGTAAAAGGATAGTTCAACAGGCAAAGGCACTTGCCACCAAATCTGACAATGGGAATTCACTCTCTAGGACCCACATGGAAGAAGAGCGCTTACCCCTGCACATTTTCCTCTCATGTCCCTGTGATGCATTCTGTGGCACACATGTGCCTCCCCTCTCCACACACTCCAAACAAGTAAATATAAAATTATTTAATTAGCTACATTTTAAAAGGATAATTACTGGACCAAAAAGATGACTCAGCAGGTAAAGGTACTTGCTGCTCAAGCCTGGTCATCTGAATATAATCCTCAGAACTCAGAGTTGGAAGGAGAGAACTGACTCCACAAAGTTGTCATCTGACCTCCATACATGTGTGGGTGCCATGGCATGTGTATACATACATATATCTCACATACACAAGAATAATTTTTTAATTATATTTTGAAGAATAATTACTAAATTCATATATTACTAGTCAGCCCTGAGGCTTGATGAAAAAAGAGAACGTATTTGCAAATAAATGGCCATTTTGGAAAGTACAAAAAGAGAAAACAAATAAGTGTGTATATGACTTAGAGGACTTTTAAATTTTGAGTTGAAGCTTGTAATTTGAGAATTTTTGGTCCTATAACCCAAATATTCTAGCAACATCCCCACATCCAAAACTAGCGTACTTCAGCTGAATAAGTTCACATATGTTCAAGAAGCGTATTATAAGCAGAAATGTTCGACCCTTAGATCTGGAGTCAGTGGGCTTCCTGGGGAGCACTAGAGAGAACAAGTCTTAGGCACGGAAGACCTTGTGCTTTGTGTTGTAACTGCTCAATTGCCTTCACTGGAAAACAGCCAAAACAATGTATAGACAAATTAATGTAGATATATGCCAATGAAAACTTGTTTGCAGACACTAAGATTTAACTTTCATACAATGTTTGCTTATATAAACTATGCCTCCTTCGATCTCTCCTTCAACCTTTAAAAAAATGCAAAAATGGAAGCCATAGTTGACCAACCCTGGCTGTTTGTTTTTTAAATAAATAATTTATTGAGAATTTCATACATGCATATAAAGTGTTTTGATCAAATCCATGCCCACTCCCTCCAGTCCAACTCCTCCCACATCTCCCCATCACTTTTTTCTGATAACTCATGTACTCTTTCTTCTTCTTTGATTTATTTACTTTTTTTAACATTCACCCCTCTGAAGAGATAACCCTAAAATCTTTTAAGGATTAGATAAAAGCTCCAAAATATTTTCAACATTTTTGGCCTTTGGAACAGAGTATGTTGCTAAGAGGCCCAAGGACATTATGAGTTTTAGCCTGGCTATGTTTTTCAAGTAGAAAAGATATAACTACCATTATTAAATTGCCAAAATACTTTTTGAGGAATAAATTGAGAATTGTATGTGCCTAAATGGATGGGCAGGAAATCCTGATGGTACCTGGTACGTAATCTGTTTGTATGTGACGAGCCAGAGGGCTCTTGCACCTGCTCACCTTCATGTCATGAATTTCACAGTTGCATACCCCTCTACCACCTGCAATGACAAAGACAGGGTCCAGCATCTGTTCTAATCACTTCTTCTACTTCCTCAGCAAAGCAGAAACATGCATCATCCCACCATACAGCTGGAGCAGTGTTTTTCTTCCACTAAGATCCTTTGTCTTTCCTTCTCCAGCCTTGACATGCTATGTGATTCTGTCATAGCATAGGCAATAGATGGATGTCTGGTGGTGACAGCCAACTAACTCAGGGCTCCAAAGGTGAATGAGTATTTGAAAAATTCGTTTATATCAAATCCAGCATGAGAACCCATGCAATAAACAAAAATTCCAGAAACACTGATGACATTCAGCATGTAAGGATGTGTTGCTCATTGTCACAGACACATTCCAGATCTCCAATCTTAGGTGTCTGGCTGATTTGCGTTTGCTTCGTTCTTGTCAAACTCTGGTCAGTAGGCACATGCAAATACAGACTTCATCCCCTTGAAATGACTGAAATGAATTAGAAATTGAGATTTCTGGTCAAGACCAGCAGGATCCATTTATTTGAATGAAGCCCTTTCGGAGGATCACGGGGCTTCCTAGAGGCCACAGTTAGTGCGCCAGCATTTCTAGAAATCATAGGTCTGATCCACTTACTCACCCTGTCCTAAAAGGGTCACTTGGTTTAGAGAGGACCCAGCATTGATTTAACAGTTGAATGAAAAATGTTCAGTCTACTTTGGTCTAGTTTTTTCATGCAGCCATAACATATAGATCTCATATATGAGGGTTTACCAGTTCCTGTGAGTTCACCTCTGTGGGGGTAAGGTGGGGGGACACAAACACGTGTTGCAGCTCTGTGAATTCATTCAAATATTTGCTTAGGACCTAGTCTAGGTTCCGGCAACACTAAAAGCATGGTTCCTGACCTCCAAGAATTAAGCCACCAACAGAGGAGAAAGGCATCAAAATAAATCTGTGGTATAGTGTTAAGTGACTTAGTTGAAGTTTAGAGTAAGAATTATCCATTCTTCTCTAGCACAGTGAAAGGTGCTAGATTCAGAGCCACACATATCTTTTTCCCCCCACCTTGAGTAAGTGACCTTGCTACATCGAGCCTGAGTTTTCTCACCTGTGAAATGGGAAACTGCAGCTTCAGGCATAGCATCATCTGCTTTCTCCATCTTCACAAGAGTCCCTGTGCATCCAACAGCACGTTGAACTGAAGGGACAGAAGAAGAGATCAGTTTTTGTGGGGTTATGTGAGGACAGGGCTTCCATTCAGAACGAGAGGCAGGAAAACACTGCACCTGGGTCAGCTATTGTCCTGCTCCCCCTGGGAGTCCATTTGGACAATAGATAGGCTATCTTTTCCCAGCCCAGCCTTTGGATATTTTACTATCCTTACAAGTTGACTGAAGGGCCTGGTCAAGTTACACACTTCTTCAGACTTTTTTATAAGGACTTTCAACATTCAATCCAACTTCAGGATTCCTCAGACTCAACCTAGTTCTCAAGCCCTGAAAAACCTACCTACCTTGGCACTGCTAAGCCATCTAAGATTTCTTTCCAAGGGACAAAGAAAATGTAGGTGTTTGTGAATAACATATGTCCGATCCCTGGGTTGCTTTACCAGGTAATAAAGTTCTGTTACTGATAAACGAACACCATGCCCTACACAGCTCTATAGCATTGAAGTGATGAGTATTCTGGGAGGAAGGGACTATTAAAGAGTAACTGAGGACCCTTTGTCATTATTTTTGACTTCCAGTGCTGTCCCCAAACCAGACTTCTCCTCTTTAGCCCACCAGTGACAAGCAAACTATTCCTTTCCATATTTTGCCTATAAATTCACTCAGCTGCCTGTGTGAATGTTAACTGACTTGCCTGATGTCACAGCAGGAAGGAGGAAATTGAAACTCACCTCTCTGCCCCCAAACCCCTGGTGGGATGGTAAGGTTTCCTCACAGGGACCTGCCAAATGGAACACCCATTGACAGCAACACTTTCCCAGTGCTCCACGCTGTCAGGGTTGTTATGGAAAAAGGATAGAGCCCCAAATCTTGTGTGTCTTTGTTTCTTCCAGGAGAGAAGCCCTACAAATGCACGTGGGAAGGCTGCACCTGGAAGTTTGCCCGTTCGGATGAACTGACCAGGCATTACCGCAAACACACGGGAGTGAAGCCATTCAAGTGTGCGGACTGTGATCGCAGCTTCTCCAGGTCAGACCACCTGGCACTGCACCGCAGGAGGCACATGCTGGTGTGAGGAAGGCTCCAGTCCAGCCGGGCATAAGAGCTGGATCTCTTAGCAGCACCCAACTCAGCAGGGCTGAGTCCCCTCCACAGTGTTAACGTCAAGGACACCACCATCCCACGGTGTCTGAAACCAGAGCAGGAACAAGAAGGAACCCTTCTCCTTTCGGCCTGAAGGTAACCCCCCATCATGACCACGTGAGAGCCGTCTGCAATCACGCTGGCCTGGGAGTTCCGCGCCCCAGGTCCTGAAGAGACAGGCTTGTTGTTTTCCATGCTATGTCCTCTGCCATTGAAAAGATGTTTGTGGCTTGTTCGTTTTCCAAGCTGGCAGACACTTTGCTATCAGTCTCTTAAAGGTCATCTACTGCAAATTGATGGCTAGAACAAGACCTTTTCAATTTGGATGATTCTCCCATCACACCCCCTTCAAAACCCTTTTGACAGAATTCAGTTCGTATCTCAGTAAGCTAGAACACACATCCAGTCTGTTACCAGCATGAACTTAGAAAGGAAGAGGCTGTTGGAGAGGTTCCATTACCTGAAAAGAAAGGCACACACAAGTAGCCCTCTGCAGTAGAGATGGCAGCCCTAGATATCGCTCACAACTGTCCTCATGCCATCCCCTGAAGAGAACCAACATCCAACCTTTCATTTGTTTGTCGTTGCTTGTGTTTGTTCTGTTTCAATTCTGTTTTGTTCATCTGTTCTAGCAGAGGGGCAGCACCATTTCAGTTGAAGTCTGGTCCCACTCTCTGCCCTGCCGTGGACAGGCAGAGGTGTTCTGTAGTTGAATAGGAAGAGCCTGTCTTTAAAAAAAAAAAAAAAAAAGTAAGAAAAGAAAGAAATAACTACTGCCCCACTTCAAATTGCAGTGTTCTGTCACCTAGGCATCATCTCTTCCTGCCCCTAGTGTTTGATTACAAGGAATTGAGGGGGAAAAGAACTTTCTTAGACACACTGGCACCAAGGTAAGAGGTGGGGCTGCCCAGGTGAAGTCAGTGAACATGAAAACTCAGACAAAGCAGAGATGGAAATAATGCGCCTCTTGAGGAGAAAAGCAATAATGAATAAAAGGACTTTCCTACAATAACTCCACTGAGGACTCACATTACCCGTTTTCATACTTTCTAAAGGGATTGTAAAAAACACCCCAGCATTTCAGATGTCTTGGTTACATTCGCAGCACTGAGGTAATCTTTCTGCTGTTGTCCCGCTTGGTTGAGTACCACACTTAAAGATTGTGCTCCCCTTTTCTTGTTTGAAAACAGTTATTTGGTGACTAGAAGGCAAGGGAGGCGTAGCCAAGGGTTAACTCTTCAGCCAATGGGTCAGTTCTCTTTGGACTTGAGTCAGTGAAAAGGGAGTGTCCTGGGGAAAGCCTGCTGTGGTGCTAGTTTTCTAACTTGGAGAACCAAACTTCAGACTCCCCAGTAGGTTCTTCTATACACATTTCACTTTCTAAACCGTACCAGGACCGCAGGGTCCAACATTGGCATCCGCAGGGACAAGACAACCTACTTCTCCGAGGAGGATGAGAGCAATGTCAAGTCCCATCATTCCCCTCAAATTAAGAGCCTTTTGTATCTAGCGAAGTGTACAGGAAACAAAGCAATACATCACTAACAAATTTTCTTTCAGAAAAAGTATCATATTTTTGTCCCCACTAAAAGCTGTTGTTTTCCCAGCTTTATGTGGCAAAGGGGCTTGGTGAGATTTTTGTTGTTGTTGTTCGTTGTTAGGAATTTTTATAGCTTAGATATAAAAAGGTCTCCAGCAAAGACCTTTGCAATATATTTCAATGACAAACACTTGATTTGGGAATTTGCACAAATTAACCTCATAATATTCCTAGCTCATTTTTAAATTTTTGAACATTCTGAAATAATTTCTGGTGACAGTTATCCTTTTTCATATCAGTTTCTAATGCAAGTAATTGTATTCTGGTGAAGCAAGAACTATGAACATTACAAGGACAACTTACGTTGGATACTTTTAAAAGTAATTTTAATAAATGTTCAAGCAAGATATCTTGATTTTCAGGTCAAGTTCTGACTTCAAAAATATGCTCTATATTTTCTGCCCATGTCTGAGAAATTCATCAGGCAATTTCCCTCCAACAAGGGCTGTAGTTCTATTGATAAATAGTTTCATCGACACAGTCTGCTACCCATTGACCAGTGGGGTTTTACCAACTGGAGCATTTTTAGTTTGTACTGTATGTACCTTGGACTTCTCATTGCCTGTGACCATTCAGAATAGAAACAGGCTGCTTGAAGCATGCCAACATTTGCTACTGGCCAGTGCAAAGAACACGGACAGTAGCATACTGCCTTGCCCCCAAGTGCTGGCCCAGAGCCTAGTTGGCACATTGTAGGGGAGTCACTCAAGTGAAATGTAGATCTGAGCTAGTTTTGTCTGCTCTCATAAGCACCAATCCTTTTCTCCATGGAGAGACATTTTGCAAGTATTACAGGTAGAATTCATTGAACTGACAGCCAGGGTAAGCTTCCTGAGTGACAGCTGATTTAAATATAGCACAGGACTAAATGAGCTGCCTCTCTAACAGCATAGGGAAGATTTGGGGGAAGTGAGCTTTTTCCCTCACCCCCTGGAAGTGGAAAGCATACTGAGATGGTAAGTGAGCTGATAAAACCTGCCAGCTTTATGCCATTCCCTCCTTTTGACATAGTGACATTTTTAAAAGGGATCCAAGCACAAGTAAATGAATGAGTCCTTGATCTATCCCAGGAAATGGAAGCTTATTTGGGACTTGTCTGAGGACCCAGCCAGTTCCCCTCCATGAGTTTCCTATGTGCTTCCCCTGTAAAGGAAAGTGGTCTGGGACAGAAGGAAGTGGGATATCTTTAGGCACAGAAAAGCCTCTGACCCATTTCATGTGTATATCTAGCCTCTTGAAAAGCACAGTGTATAGTGAACTGCCAAAAAATGGAAAGGATCCTGAAGGATTTGTCAGTCATTCCCTAACTAGAGCACTCTGGTCTTAAATTTGAAGTGGTTCAATTTGCAGTTAGGGAGCTGTGCGTGGCTGGGAGCTGTGCATGGTTGGTAGCTGTGCATGGTTGGGAGATGTCTCACAAACACAGCCAAGAGAACCTACTGTCTCTTTGCAGTGTAAAGATTGATGAAAGGAGAGTTGTGCTCTTCAAGGGTTTTAATAGAGGCTCTAATATTCTATTGTTATGTGCGGAGAGTCATGCTACCTTGTCCAGCTCCAGCCTCCTGCTCTCAATTTCTATGGGCTCTGCTTGATTTTCAGTTCTATTATGGCATTTACATGGAGGTTCCCAATGGCTTTACCATGAAGGTGATACTACTGCCTTTACAAAACACATACCACATTTGTTTGCAAGAAGTTGAATGCCAGTAACATGAATGAAATGAGCACTTTTTAATTCACTTTAAAGTTTAAATGGGAAATAGGGAGGTGAATTGTCAAGGGTAAAAACCTTTACAAACTGCTTCAGTGTTTACAAATGCAAATTCTTGGTGATTAGAAGAGCCAGTTTCATTGTGGTTGAAATTTGGAATAGCTCATGCAAAGACTCTGTTCATTTTTATACAACTTGTTTAACTTCAAATTGCGTTTGTGTTTTAAATGGAAATATAAGACTGCACTTTGAAATTAGCTCATTAGAATAACATGCATATGGATAAAGATGCAGTGTTCCTTATTCTGTACTTTATTATACATACCAAAGGTGCAATTGAATAAATCTGGTGAGGTGAGGCCTTCAATTGTATTAATACGCCTTTGTTATGTTGTTATGACTGCCTAGAAATGTAGCCGAGATGTTATTATAAAGCTATCTTATCACTTATAATGAGGACTCTTGGAACCACAGCAGTGTTAATACCAGCACCCATGCAATCTGCATAGAAAGGACTGAATGGGACTGAATCTGATGAATAATCATAGGCCCATGAAGCCTTAATATCCATAGTTCATAATCCACTGTCAGACTTTGCTCTGCACTGATGCCTATGAGTTTATCACGTAAATACACAGCATTGACCAAACCTCTTCATTTTGTTTTTCTGAGGTAGTATATCCCATAGACATCTTCTCAACGGGATGTGGTTTAGTTTAGAAAAGAGATTTGGTAAGTCATGTCTTCCATACTGCATTTCTATGTACTCCCACATACCTTTCTCTTACCTGGACAGACACCCCAACACATGCACCTGCGTGCACACACCTGTATATGCAGCAGACAGCGAATAAATATCAACAAAGAACTTTTTTAAAAGAAATAATTTGTTATAATCCATACTATCTAGAAATGTAAGTTATTACATTATTAGGGAATCAGCTTATAATACTATGTAACTTTGCCTGCATTTTATAGTTAAGAAATGTATATAAAAAATTTAAAATGCTATATTTTCACAATTTCATTATAGAGTAATGTCTGTTTAGCGACCCATGTCCATTGGTATTTTAAATATGCTAAATACTGAGCAATTGCAATAGAAATTCAGATTTTCATAGGAAAATAAAATAGAAGGACACTGCATCTTTAAAAAATAGAGTGAAACTATTTTACTGTATTCGTAACATATGTGATAGTGGAAAGAGTATTTTCAAACACACAAATTTTACAGAGGTTGTAAATAGTTTGATGACATATGTTGGGGGAAAAGCTTCTAGTTTTCATCACAATAAAAAGCTCACTTGTTCAGATATGCCTTGTGTATCTTACACGCAATTAGCAATAGTGCCATGGGAACTCTGTCCCACATTGTCGGAGCATTTCCGTCTGTCAGATGGAGTGTCCACATCTCATAGTTTAGCCAGAAGGTTTAAAACCCAAATGAAGTCATTTTTCCAAACTTTTAATGTCTTTTCTTGAAAAGGGGGGAAATGGGAATTTCCTTGAGCTGGAAAGGAGCACCTAGCAGTTTATTCTTCTCCCTTCTCACTGTCCTTCCTTCTCAACAAAGTGGTGATTTTAAAAAAAAAAGTAGAGGTGTTTATTCTTGTTTAACTTCCAGCTGGGTGTGGTGGTGCATGCCTTTAAACCCTGCACTTAGGAGGCAGAGACAGGCAAATCTCTGTGGGATTGAGGCCCGAGTGGTCTGCATAGTGAGTTCCAGGTCAGCTGAGGCTACAGGGAGACCCTGCCTCAAAAAACAAATGAAATAATAAATAAATAAGTAAATTCCAGAGGGATTGCTTTCAAATGTAGGCACATGTTGACAAGGTTAAGTGCTGTGGATAAGGCCATGTATTCAATTAATCTGTGCTGGCCATAGAAAAAAAGCAAGTTCCCATTTTCAAAATGAATTAAATACTGAAAGTGCCTGTCAATAAACATGACCAATGAGAAGATCTTATACTTTCACACAGCAATAATTTTTCATCAGACTGGTTTTTTCCTGCACAGACTACACACACACACACACATATATGCATATAGTAAATTGAATCTGTTTACAAACCCACAGAAAAAATGACTTTTGTCTTTTTTTTAATATACCTAAACTTGATTCCAATTAATCTTTAATTTTTCTTACTTGGAGAATAAAAGTGCAGATATGGACAATGAGCTTATCTTTGATGTACACTGTGGCATACGACAGTTATAATGTTCAGATAAAAATATGACTGTGATATACCCCAAACTTATGACATAGCGTGTATAGCTCAGAAACATTTGCTCAGTTAAAGCTAAAAACGCCAATGCAAAAAAAAAAAAACAAACAAAAAACAAAACAAAGGAACGCCAATGCATTTAAAGCAAAACATTGAAGGATAGTTACCGCCTTCATTTTATCTACTTAGATCAAATGCACAAATTCATCTTTAT